TCCCCCACATAAGATACACCAAGGGCTTATAAACAAGATACACCAAAGGCACTTAAATAAACAGCTGCCATCAACTACTCCTTAAATGGCTCATCTCACCTAAGCTGGACCGCAGCTGCATCTTTCTATCTAGAGTCTGCACCCTGCCAGGCTCCTGAATCCTGACCACAGAGCAGAGGGAGAAGGGACATTATCACTCAGCCTACTTGCCCTCAGCCCTACAGAGCACTCACATGCCTAAAAGAAGTACCTTACTCATCAGCCTAGCCCAGTTCCTGACCCCAGATCCTGCTAGCCTGTCCTGCCTTGAGATTACCTGGAAACAGTGCTGGGGGGGGGGGGGGGGCAGACTTTAAACATCTATTGTCTCATTCTCCCTCTGCGTTAAACAGAAATATTACGTAGATATGTAAAGTCCATATTTCTTGTTACTAAACACTAGAATTCACAGGAGAATTATTTTCACAGAAGGCACAACAGTGATATTAAAATGAGGATCCAAGACAAAAGAAATACCAATAATGTCAAGATCACCCATGCAGGTGACTGCTTTGCTATTTTCAACATTAATGATGGATTACAAGGGGCACAAACAACTAAATCTGCTCCCTCCTGAAATGCAACTAAAGTGAGTTAAAGGGAAAACAAGGCCTAAATCACAAAGACAAAAACACCAACAGCAAAGACAAAAGCAGATGACCCGTGTTCAAATCCTGACTCACTCACTTATAAATAAACTTGGGGGTTGGGAAATAAGTAAATAAATAACCTTGGGCAAGTTACCTAACTTTTTCAAGCCTTAGTTTCTTGATTTATACAATGAGAATACCAACAATTACTTGACATTTGGAAAATTGGGTGAAATAACATGTGTTTGGCATAGTGCCTGACATTACTAAAACTCAAGAAATGGGAGCTGCTCACACAGCAATTCTCATTATTATCACTTTACTTCCTCCCTAGCCACCTGACTAAAATTTGTCCAGAACATTCCAGAAGATAGTAGCACATTACGCTGCTTCTCAAATGGCTTAGAAGACTTAATAAAGATGCCCTTGAAGGTTAAAATTTGAATACATATACACTAGAAATAAAAGCAAAAAACAAAAAACCTTGCAGAACACATAACCAAATCCATCCCTTAAGGAACAGGAATATTTCTTTGCCTTACCTTGCTGAATTCCACATTACTTCACAACTTATTTCAACAGTCCACTATTTCTATCCTGGAGCAAGATCTATTGCATAAACTAAAACTCATCAGATGAAAGTCTGCAGTTGGTCTCTAGACAATAAAACACCAGCAAACTAACTAACTGCAAAATACCCACATTACTCACATGCCAGTAAGCCTATAGGAAGTTTTTAAATATAAATCATATTCAGCAACTCAAATTAGTTTAAATATGAACTCAAATCATTTTAAAAACACTGAATCCAAGGGTGCCTGGGTGGCTCAGTTGGTTAAGCGTCCCAACTCTTGGTTCCAGCTGAAGTCCTGATCTCAGGATCATGAGATCAAGCCCCATGTGCAGATGTGCACTCAGCATGGAGTCTGCTTCAGATTCTTTCTCCCTCTCCCTCTGCACCCCACTTCGTGAGTGCACACGCACTCTCTAAAATAAAACCTTTAAAAACAAAACAAAACATTGAATCCAAAAGACATCAATTTTAACAGGTGGGAAGAATATTGCCTTTGGAATCTGGCAGTTCTGAGCTCTACCTCTTACTAACTGCTATGACTATGAGCACAAAAGCAAACCTCCCAAGCCTCACTTTCTGACCTATATGACAGGACATTATTAGTTATATCATGAGGTTAGTGTGACAATTAACTGAGATAATATGCCCAAAGAGCCCCATATGAGGTGCTCCAAAAGAGAGAACAGCTATAATTACATTACTATCTTGTTCTAAGAAGTGCAATTCAAGGCTGTCTACAACTGACTCACTCACAATACCCTTGTTCCTCTAGCTAGCCCTCTCTGTACTTTAACTGTAAAAGTGACCACCTTATCAAAGGAAGGAAAACTCTGTTCTTCAAAAATGATAATGCAGGGACGCCTGGGTGGCTCAGTTGGTTAAGCAGCTGCCTTCGGCTCAGGTCATGATCCCAGCGTCCTGGGATCGAGTCCCGAATCGGGTTCCTTGCTTGGCAGGGAGCCTGCTTCTCCCTCTGCCTCTGCCTGTCATTCTGTCTGCCTGTGCTCGCTCTCTCTCCCTCTCTCTCTCTGACAAATAAATAAATAAAATCTTAAAAAAAAAAAATGATAATGCAGGGGCACCTGGCTGGCTTCATCAGTAGAACATGCCACTCTTGATCTCGGGGTTGTGAGTTTGTGCCCCACACTGAGTATAGAGATTACTTAAAAATAAAATCTTTAGGGGTGCCTGGATAACTTGGTTTTGGCTAAGGTCATGATCTCATGGGGTGTAAGACTGAGCCCCGCCCCGCCTTAAGCTCTGCACTTAGCACAAAGTCTGCCTGAAGATAAGCTTCCTCTGCCTTTGTCACTGTGTGTGTGTGTGCATGTGTGCATGTACACACACGCATGCACTCTCGCAATGTATAAATGTTTAAATAAAATCTTAAAAAAAAAAAAAAAAGAACGATATTGTAAAGGCAACAAGAATTCCCAAGTGCCTCTAAAATACAGGGGACAAGAACTGGATGATCCATCATCATTTAGTTCATATATAGCACTGACCATTGCCAGGTAGCAACCACTTCTCAGTAACAAGCCTAATATAGCACTCATCAAAGGGAAGACACACTGGACAGGCAAGAAAGCTCAACTTTCTATCCTCACCATCAAATTGTATGCAAACATACAACCAATGAAACACAACTAATCCACATTTTGTAACATGTTTATTTTACTCTCTACAGTTTTTCATAGTTACAGACACTAATAATTTTTAATTTCTTTAGACATCTGGAAAGAAAAAAAAGGCAAAGTTAAGGAGAAAGCACCCAAATATTTATGTAGAGTGGCAAGCTGGGAAGCACAGCAAAGTTTCAAGAGGCAATCAGAAAAGAACACTCTATCTTCCAGAGAAGTAATATGACTATCACACAGAGTGTTATCTGTTCTTCATTCTATAGAATGATGTACAAGTTTCATAAATTCAGTCCTTGAGATTATTAGGAATTTTACCTACAGAATATGCCAACACAATTAAAAATATGCTAGTGAAGAACCTCTGTCAGGTTCTGAGTTCTTTTCTGCAGCTTCCTTTAGTAAGCATTTACTGAACACTAAGTTGTCTGCCAGGACCATCCTGAAGCATTTTGAATTCCTGCCCTCAGAGATCAGTATGTTGCGGAGGGGCAGGGGAGTCAAGAATAGAAATCACTAATGCGAAAAATAAACCCCAGGCATTCTCATTGCCACCTATAGGCTGGCCCTTAAGACAGCCCAGTTGCACAATCACATATATTTTGGTCATTGATCTGTTCGACAAATAATGACGACCACAATAGGCAGCTGACAGTCCTCGCTAGGGCCCTAATTCCCCTTATGACTTCAGACAACTCATTTCCTGCACTGGCAATAGCTTCCTCAAAGACCAAGAGACCCAGAACTTTCCTCCCTTTCCTTATAAACACTCCAGCCTCTGTCAGTGACTCCACCCTGACCTAGTCAGAAGAGGTTAAAAAAAAAAAAAAAAAAAGACTCTCGGGGGCCAGGAGTCAATGGCGTTGGGAATTAACCACGTTCCTCTAGATTTATTGACAGTATGGCCATCACACCGCATACCCTCCGCCCGCCCTGAAAAACAGGAACTTACTATTCCTTCATTTTTACGAAGCCTCTTCTATGTAAATTACTTTACATTTTAGATAAAAACAAAAAACTCTCTGCCCACACAAAATAAAAACCCTGCGCTCAGGAGTTCCCGATCTGGCTGAGTGAAAAGATCAAACGTGAAAAAAGGTAATGTGCAACCAAAAGTCCTAAGACTAACCATCAACCACTACAAAGCCAGGAATAAGTGAAAGGAAGTGGGGGCCAGTCGCACCCGCGAGTCCTCAGCTTCAATGCCGCTCTGCATTCCTAAGGAGAGCGCAATCTCCGTGCGGGCAAGGCAGAAACTAGGCTCTGAGAGACCCGTGCCGGCGAAAAGGTGGCGGGCCCGCGGAGAGCACTTGCGGGAAGGGGGACAGCAGCAGGAGAGCTCGGGCAGGACTGGGCAGCTCAAGGGGAGGCTCTGGAGAGGCCGACACCAGAGAGGGGAGAAGGGGCGTGGGCCGGGGATCTCCTCAGAGGGGCGCCGAATGGGTGGCGCTGAAGGAGGCTCCACAGGGGCCTGGAAGAGGAGGGACGCTCACCGGGAGGAGGGGGTGCTCCTGGAGGGGTGCGGGGCTGGGCGGCTCTAGAGGGGAGGACACCACGGCACCACGGGCCAAGGACAGTGCCTCCCGAGCGGCTTGGAGCTGCGCAGCTCTAGCCTGGCCAAAGCCGAAAGGGTCCGCTCCGAAGGGGGCGGGTTGGGAGGCTCTAAGGAAGGTTCTGGAGGAGTCGACACGGGGGAAAAGGAGGGCACGCGGAGAGGCACGGCTCCAGAGGAGGCTCTGGTGGGGCCAACACCAGGAAGGGAAGCAAGGAGGTGGGTCCGCGGGGGGAGCGGAGGGGGTCTCCTCAGACGCGCGCCGAGGGGACGCCGCTAGAGGAGGCTGGGATCTACGCCGGGGAGGGGCGGGCCGCGGGGTCTAAGTGGGAGGGTCCTCTCGGAGGGGTGCGGGGCTGCGCGGCTGTACGAGAAGTTCTGCAGGGACCTACACCCGGGAAGGGGAGGACGCGAGGAGAGGGACGACTTTCTCACCAAGGCTCTAAGGGACTGACGCCGAAGACGTGCGGTACCGCGGGTCGAGAAGGGATCGTCTCCGAGTGGTGACGGGCTGGGCGACTCTAGGGAAAGGCTCCAGAGGAACCAACTCTGGTCGGTGGGGAACAGAAGGGGCCCTGGAGTCGCCTGGACCGGATGAACACATTTACCTGCGAACTCTCCAGCCGCCGCGGAGCACCGAAGCAGGGCACGGGACCGCAAGGACGCCACTGGGGTTCCTGGGCTCCGACTGCCTCACGCCTACGTCCGGGCCACCGTCCAACGTCACACCTCTCCCGCGCGCATGCGTCCGGCCGCGCGGGGCATGCCTGGAATAGTCGCGGAGGCAGTGGCGGAGCCTGGGTCGTTGTAGGAGGGAGGGGAGGGTCCTGAGGCATCCTCAACTCTGCGTAAGTGGAGGTTTAATTTTCATCTGAAAAAGTTGTTTGCACCCTGGTCTTTGTCCAAATGCCATCCTCCAATAAAAGGAGCCAGGGCTGCTTAGAGAAATGAGTGGCTCTAGAACTATGGCGGGGAAAGCACAACCTGAGCCTGGAGCTTGATGTATCGCCAGAAGTAAGAAATGCTCAAAAAATAAAATCATGGAGGCATGTCAAAGGACACAGGAATAAACCTGAAAAAGCTCCCCATGGCCAAATCTGGAACAACTTGAGAACCAAAATAAATTATGTAGTATTAAGTTAAAACAGAGTATAAAACAAATATAACCGAGTCCATTCTTTTGAAAGTAAATGGTTAAATTAATGAAGAGAAGAGAGAAATTTTTTTAATAGAAGAATTCCAATAAATCATACCTAATCCAGAGGGAGTATAAACCTCCACCCACACAACCCTGAATCTGCATAATTGCTTCCTCTCAAAGAGAGGAGAGAAAATAACTTTACAGTGGAGCAACCTGACAAACACTACTCAACCATGTGATAAAGATTGACATCAGCCATGGTAAGTCATGTTGATAATATTTACCTTTGACATGATGTGATGAAAAGGTCACTTTTCCTTTGGCCTTCCTCCAAAAAAAACTACAGTCCCAATCTAACCATGACAAAAACATCAGACAACTCCTAATTCATGCATGTTCAATAAACTACCTCACCAGTACTCCTCAAAAACTTTAAAGGTCATGAAAAACAAGGAAAGACTGAGAAACTGTCAGATGCAATGGGGGATCCAGGGTGGAATCCTGGAAAAAACTGGTAAATTCCAAATGCTTGATTTTGAATAATAACAATTACTTGTAATTTCTGCCTTCCACTCAAGTCCTGATCCGGGGTCCTGGGATGGAGCCCTGCACTGGGCTCCCTACTCATCAAGAAGCCTGCTTCTTTCTCTCCTGCTCCCTGTTTCAAATAAATAAATAAATACATATCTTTTAAAAAATAAAATAAAATTATTCCAAAATAAAATAAAAAGTTTAATTTTAAATAAAGAAGATAATAGTGGGAAATAGAGAAATGTTAGTGACCTCTACTGCTAAACTTTGAAGATGGCTTTAAGCCCCTGTGGTGCCTCTGGGCTCAAGGTAGGGAACCTTCCTGGGAAGTAGCCTGAGGGAACTTCCCACCACCCTACTCCTCAAAGGTGAATTTTGTAAACATTTATTGAGCTGTACACTTAAGATTTGTTTTTCCGTGATAAATAGCAAACATTTAATTGAGTAAGTTTAAAGATCAAATTGATTTTATTTAATGATTCATGAATCGGGCAGCATCACATCTAGCAAATAGAAAGGAGCTCCAATGAGCTATAGGAAAGGAAAGGTTTTTAAAGGTGGAAGGATAGGAAAAGAAAATTGTCAGCAAAGAATGCATTGTTTCAATCAAGGTTACCTTCCTCAAAGAGATCAAAATGGGTCTATCAAGAGGATTATCTCATTTATGCTTATCAGACAATTCCATTTTATTCCTGGGAGGTTGAAACTACAATTAGATTAGGTATTAAATCTTTTTTTGCTAGTGTGGAATTTAGCACAAGTGACTCCATTTTGGGACTGCTTTCTCATTTTTAACATCTACCTGTAAACTTTCTCTCTCTCTCTTTAAACACATGCATGCGTGTGCGCACGCACACACACACACACACACACACACACACACACACACCCCTTTGGGAAGGCCTACAGTTAATGGTCTTTAAAACTCCAAACTCTAATGGCAAAAGCTCCTGTCTTAACCCAGCTCCTCTCTGAGGAGAAATTCAGGATGGGGAATACTGTGATGCCTTCCAATCGAATCTTTTGCAAAATAGCATGACTTAGTCAACAACAGAGTTTGGAATCATCTAGAATTTTTCCTGGTTCCCACTTGGTGAGGATGAGCTTGAGCAAACTGGGTGACATCACTGAAGTTCCTGACCCTCTCTCAGTAAAGCAATAAGGCTAACCCTATCTTATGTGTTAGTTTTAGGTATCTTGCAAGGTTTGGATTTGGAGTGTTCAAAATACACACATTGTCTTTAAGTGATGGGTCTATGGATGACTTATTTCTTCTTCATTCTTTGCTGTATTTTCCAGATTTTCCTCAATTAATCACTTAACACCTAATTTAAAATCATTTAGATAGGGGCACCTGGATGGCTCAGTGGGTTAAGCCCCTGCCTCCCACTCATGATCTCAGGGTCCTGGGATTGAGCCCCGCATTGGGCTCTTTGCTCACAGGGAGCCTGCTTCCCCCTCTCTCTCTGCCTCCCTCTCTGCCTACTTGTGATCTCTCTCTCTCTCTCTCTGTAAAATAAATAAATAAATTTTTCTTAAAAAATACATAAAATCATTTAGACAACAGGAAAAAAGTAATACATGTGTGTAAATATATATGTACATATATATATATATATATATATATAATTTTTTTTAGTAGGTGTCACGCCGAGCATGGAGCCCAACACAAGGCTTGAACTCACAACCTTGAGATCAAGACCTGAGCTGAGATCAAGAGTTGGCCACTTAACTAGTTGAGCCACCCAGGTGCCCCAGAAAAAAGTAATATTTGAATCTAGTTTGGTTTATGTAGGTGTTCCAGGACCTGGAGCAGGAAATATCTCCTAGTAAGTTTTCTGGTTTAGCAATATTGGCTTTCTTTTCTTTTTTTTTAATTCTCCAATCTCTTTAATATGAATTCAGGTCAAAATAGTTCTCTTAGGCTATTAATACACTATTTCACCATATGTGGCAAAGCTCATAAGAACTCACCAACACCATACCTTGTGCATAGTTAAAAACACAATTCAATAAATATCAATTGAGGGGCACCTGGGTGGCTCAGTGGGTTAAGCTGCTGCCTTCAGCTCAGGTCATGATCCCAGTGTCCTGGGATCCAGCCCCCGGCTCTCTCTCTCTCTGCTTCCCCCCCCCCCCATCCCGCTGCCTCTCTGCCTACTATGTGATCTCTGTCAATTAAATAAATAAAATCTTTAAAAATAAATAAATATCAATTGAAAAATCATAGTGTGCCAGTCCTGGTGATATGAAGAACAGCAACACTCAGATCCTAATCATCCTGGACTCCTCGGATTCCATAAATGGAGGTAAATGAAATTCTTCTCTGGAGTGTTCTGACATGCTCACAAATCACCAGTGGATCAGAGAAAGGTTGCAGGACACTCTCACAAGGAGCAGTCACCAGTAAATTTGCTTTCTGTCCAAGTTTGCTGACAATAAAAGTACAGGAAGAAGGAGGCCAACGGCAGCTAAGAACACCTAATTTCCAGCCCTATATCTGCCAATACTGAGTATGTAGCCTCTGGTCTAGAACTGAAATGGGGTTTCAAAGAGCTACACTGGCACTCTGCATTCATCAGTCCCCTGGCTCAATGGCTCCATAGAATTTGTGGTCCTCAACTCAATCAAATAAAATTTTATGCTGATTAGCCCTGCTCCCTTTTTTGCCCCAGTTATAAGTACTGAAACTGGAAAAAGAAAGTGTAAGGTTTTTGTGGTTGAAAAAGAAAATCTAAATAAGACATCGGGTCCCTGGCTGGCTCAATCAGTAGAGCATGTGACTTGTGATCTCATGGCTGTGAGTTCAAGCCCCATATTGAGTGTAGAAATTACTAAAATAAATAAATAGGGGTGCCTGGGTGGCTAAGCTTCTGCCTCCAGCTCAGGCTGGTGGGTTAAGCTTCTGCATCCAGCTCACGATGTGATCCCAGAGTCAGCAGGGAGTCTGCTTCTCCCTCTCACTTCCTTTTCCCCCACTTCTGCCCCTCCCCACGCCCCCCTGCTCATGCTCTCACTCTCTCAAAGAAATAAATAAATCCTTTAAAAATCGTTTAAAACTGTATGGTGACTAACATAATAAAAAATAAAAATCATTTAAAATAAATAAACAAACTTTAAAAAAATTAATAGGATATGAAATACTATGTCATGCCTCTCCATGCCATACCCTACGATCTGGAATGAGAATCCTAAGCCAAAACCAAGTCTAGTCCAGGACTAGAAAGCTCTTCTACTCTGCTTGCTGCACCTTAGCTCTTCCTAGAAGGAAATTCTGAAACTTTATTGGGTACAAAATAATGAATTTTTGCATGTTTAAATTTCACTTTATTTTTCCCTCAACACCTACTGAAAAGTGTTAACTTTCTTCAGATAGTTGAGCCCATTTCTTTTGAGAACAGTTGTGTTTTTGCCCACTATAAACATGAAACTGTCCATGAGCACAAGAATGAGGAAGAGAGATGGGGCACAGATGTGGCACATGCAGCCTTGCTGTCACTGTTCTTGTTTACAGGCCTATTTCTAACCACCCTTCCCCTCCCTCACCTCACACCTTCTCTGCCTCTTTAACTGTCCACATGAAAGTGAGTCCCTCGGCTCCCCCACCCACCACAGCTTCTACTACTTAGTCATCGCTGTGTTGCTTATTATTTTTAAACACCTACTGTTTCATAGAAGTCTAAGGAGAGAATAGAAGGCCAAAGTGTGTTCTTGGTCTGCCATCTTGAGTCAGAAGGCTCCAACCCCAACTCCTTTCTGTCATGCTCAACTGTCTCTAAATGTCTTGTTAACTAATAATCCCCTTATCTTGTTTTCCAGGACTATTCAGGATTCATTCTTTTAAAAATCTTGGGTGTTTGAGGGGTGGTGTCTGAGTGGCTCAGTCAGTTGAGCATCTGACTCTTGATCTCCGCTCAGGTCTTAATCATGAGTTGGGGTCCCACACTGGACTCTATGCTGGACATGGAGCCTACTTAAAAAAAATAAGTAATAATAAAAACTAAAAATACTTTTTCTTTTTCCTAAATAGGGTCTGGAAGGGAAGGGAAGTAGATCCC